TCATAGAAGAGGTCCACGAAACCTTCAAGATTTGAAGACTGTGTGGTAGAATGGGCCAAAATCCCACATGATTAATGCATGCCACTAGTTTCTACATACAGGAGGCGTCTTGAAGCTGTCATTGACAACAGCGGTTTTTGTATAAATTATTAGATAAATTCCAGTAAGTGTGTTCAATACTTTTTCCCTGTGCCATTCTACATTAGTACAAATAACTTCATTTCTGGACATTTCTGGTTTATTTTCTTTGTATGTCTGGATCACTTGGGTTGTTACCGACATCTGGTGAAAATTTCATGTCATTAGCACCTCTAGTAATATATTTACTGAGAAAAATGGTGGCGTGTTCTTTACCCGCTGTATTTAGCATATCTGTTTGCAAATGTCTGAACATTCAGCTGTTGGGGAGGTGTGTCATGTTTTGTGTGTTTTAGGTCATAATGCAAAACTGAACTCCGCTTTTTAGGCACTACTGCATATGAATTTTTGTAGCCTGGCCGTTTCCTTCCTACATAATTCAGCTTGATTCTAATCTCCCTTCTCTGCTCTGTCTGGGCTTTCTCCCATTCACAAGGATTTCTCAAGTAGAATTTCAACTGGGCCAATCAGTGAACAGAAGGAGTTGTAAACAATGATGTCTGCGCTGTTTGAGGGTGTGTTCACACCAGCCCTGTTTAGTTCACTTTAATCAAACTCTAGTTTGTTTGTCTAGAAAGTACGGTTTCGTTGGGGAGGTACTGTATGAATGCGTAATTAACCTCTGATGCGGACCAAAAAGCAAACTCTGGTCTGCCTAAAAACCTAGGTCTCTGTTAGGTTAAAGTGGGTTCGGCTTTGTGACATTTTTGGGCAATTTTAAGATAAAAATCCTACATTTGGAGATAACTGGTGCATTTGGGGACAAAAGTCGAGTCCCCATTTGGTTTAAATGCTATTGGTGGGTTGGGGGTTGGGTTTAGGACCAAGGTGTGAATTGAGTTTAAGTTAGTTTTAGGGCCAGGTACGTACCTGTGAGGTTAGCCTTAGGGTTTGTGGTCAGGGTTAGGCTGTAGAAACGCAATGGAAGTCAATGGAATGTCCCCAATTGGATAGCTGTGCAAACTTGTGTGAAAGCTGGTGTGTTTCAAACATATGTGAATGCCAAGTGGACCAGAAATCACTCCAAAAGCAGGAAGAGGACTATAGCCCAGGGAATTCTGAGTATTAATAAAATTACTCAAATAAGCATTCTCTGATTATCAAAATGTGTAATAACTTTCAGTTAAGAGAACAATAAATCAAATAAAAAGAAGATTCTTCTGTTTATTATCTGATTAAGAAAAAGAGAATATCTCTTTGACAAGTTAAGGCGACCTGAGGTGGCCTAAATTCAATTCTGAGTGGAACAGAGTTTCTGTCCCTTTAAAGGTCCATCAGAGGTCTGAGGTCCAAGAGAGTTCCCTTGATTATTTCACTCGAGGTGACCCCTACACCTTGCTTGATATCTGTAAATAGAACCTGAAACTTTCTGGTCCCGAGTCGCATGCCAAACCACGGGTCTACAGCTGCCTCTGGTTGAAGGCTTCAGAATAGGATGTGATGGTTCACACATCCACAACAACTAACCTGACCAACAAATCTTGGACCAAGTTCCTCACTGTTTGGCACTTTTTGTTGGTGTCAGGTCCAACAAAGACTCCACTGTTGCTGTTTGAACAGCCTTTAGCAGATCAGTTAACCCACTGAGTGTGCTAAGTGCTGGACCTCACCTGGAAGTTAAAGCTGGATCAGGACTATAACCATCATCCACTATAGTTTCCATACTGGTTTATTAAAACATTCATTGCATTTTTGGGTAGGCCAGTACCTACTCAGCAAGTAATCTGGGTATTTGCATAGTACTAGTATAGTACATAGTACATAGTACAGTTTGGTTGTCCATCTGTGCATTAGCTGTCAGTCACACTGTCTTGTGTGCCCTGTATCTCTTGAACGGAGCAACAGATTTCAGTCTAAATTCACATGATAATTGTTCTTGGCCCAACAGAGGTCTGAAAACCTTTTGGAGTCAAAGATCAAAGCTGAAGCTCAGGTAAAGTGATCTTTGTTGCTTGAATCCCCTTATTTTGAATGGTGCACTTAAGAGGTTGATCACTGACATTAATGATAAATGGTAAATATCAAAGAGGAAGTTATGTTTAGACATTGTTGATATAGTTACATACTGTACTTCTCTTAATATTTAAGTCAAAAATAGAGGTCAACAGGTAACTGTATGCCCAATGTTTTAAATGAAGGTGAGTCTAGGGCGCACGGAGGTGACCAGTCGATGCTTTGGCATTGAGTTCTGCCTTGTTTTAAATATTATCCACATAGAACCAAGATTGTAATTTGTTCGAACATTTCATTGTTTTTGTCCATTAATAGGCATTTTAGCTTAACCACAGAGTTCACTTAATGGCTGGTAATAAACTTCTAAATGGGTGAAATCAAAACAGCTTTTGAGTACCACCAGAGGTATTTGTACCACAGTTTGAGAACTATGTAATTACAAAATATCATAGAGAGCCTATTTCTAACAAGCTGCTGTCTATTGTCTGACAGTACAGGTAAATATTGTAACTTGTTGCAAATGTAACTTAAAATATTCTAACAAATGTAAATCTCATTATTGTAGATTCTTTGAAGGCTTCAATTACAAATTGGTTTGTTTTGTACAGATATAACCTGACTTCGTACCTTATGCTGATGAAACACTGGGATTTCTTGTTCCACAGTCAATCGTTTGAAACCTTTGAGACTGTTTCAGCCTAAGAAGGAAGTGGTGTGTGCAGCAGACTGAACAAAGCTGCACGAAGCGTGGAGACATGGGACAACTCAGGGCACTTAAAAGAGTGCCGTTCTGACCAGTGGAGCGAGAGATCTGACTGAAGATCTGCTCGTTTCCCTCCACACCTTCAGGTCAGGAGGCCAGCAGGCACCAAATAACAGCAGCTTCGTGTCGAACTCCGCAGGGCAGCAGAGGTGGTTGTTGCTGTTTGTTTCACTGGTTTTGCTGCTCGTGATGCGGTAGCGTTGTGGTGACAGTACCTGGTTTTTCTCATCTTGAAGAAATGTTAGGAGTTGTTCACTGTCCCCCTCATCAAGACAAGCTTCTCCCATGGTCCTGAACTGCTGGTAGTCCTCCAGTTTCAGATCTTCTCTCAGAGTGTCTCGCTGAATGCAGGAACAAGGAATAATTGAATGTTATGTTGCTCTCTCTGATTTAATCTGATTATAAAATATTTTTATTGTGAAATTAAAGGCATCTACGGTGCCCGTTCGGTGATATTGGATAAAAAATATTTGGGTAACCCTTTCTTTTACAGTCCCCTAATTATTATGCAATTACCTAGTATTTACATGGCAAGTAATATAATTTTACTATACAATTACTTGGTAATTACAGTAATTTACCATGTAATTACATGTTAAGAACATATTTAAAAAACTGTGTAATTAAATTAATTTTAGTAATTTATTACAATTACAGTTCAATGGTATATCAGTTACCATTTGCCAAAAAAATTACTATGTAAAACTAATTTAGTGATCTTAATAGTTCATATATTACCCAGCATTTAACAATAATCTACCAACTAAATTTCCACATAATATACAAATATACTCCCTAATTACCATGCCATTACCAGTACACTACCATGTTGGTAAAACTATAGTTTTATTGGGTAACTACAATCAAATTACTGTTCAATAGTAGCTCAATCATATATTATTAACCAAAAGAATACAAACAAATAGAAACATACATTCTTACCACGCAATTATGTGGTAAATTATTGTAATAACATTGCATAGTACAATGATATTATTTAGCATGTAAATACTAGGTTATTGCATGATAATTAGGAGACTGTAAAAGAAAGGGTTACCAAAAATTGTATCTTGCAGCCACAAGATGATTTTGAGCGTAAAACGGTCAGATTTTGAATATGTTGTTTTGTTTGAAATCGTTCACAGATGCTTCGTCCTTGATGACTGATGACACAACTGTGAAAGGATTAATTATTGATAATCATTAGACAGAAAAATCAATTCTAAATTGATCAGACTATCTCTTAGCCTCCGTTCTTGCTGTTAAGCTGGTAAATAATTTGTCTAAACAGATTTTATATCAAATAATAACAACCCCTCATCACATAATAATCATACACCAGTGGATTGAGATTATAGTTTTGTGGTCTCAGTTGTGTTTTACTAATGGAATATGGTCGACTTACCCATCTGTGGATTATTTCATTCACCTTCTCTTCATTCATCATCAGCCCTCACAAACAATCCTATTATCAATACTACTTCTCTTATCGCAGCACAATATGGTCACCGGTATGAGAACGCTCTGCAGGCGTCTCCAGGGAGTGAAGGAGACCGAGGCTGCAAGGAAGACCAGCCTAAACCTCTTACGTTGCCTTTGTGCCTCACATCTAAGAGGATTAAACAGCTCTGTAGAGCTGTCTGGAACCATCCAGTCATCTGTAAAATATACTGTATAGTGAAGAAGTTGTTTCTGTCTGAAGGAGGGGAAAAAACCGATGCAGATATTAAATATATTCCACTACAAATGTTTAGCATGAAACTTTGCGGTCATATTCTGTTCTCAGCTGGACTCACTGAACAGTTTGTGGTGAAAATTATTAATTTAGACTTCTTCGTATGTGTCTGCTGTAACTAAAACTGAAGTAAGATTGTCATTTTAAAGCATATGGGGTACAAAGAGAAAGACATTTGGTGAAACATTTTTGAGGTTTCACCAAAACATCCACACATCTATCATTTGTGCAGAGAAGATGATCTTAGCCTAAAACTATGAAATTAAATTTTGTGTGTAGAGACCTTTAATTGAAGTTGCAGACATGTGACCATGTGAACATTATGCTGCCCTCAAAAGACACGTTTTACTTCAACATTTCATGTTTAACTAATTAAACATAAAACATCAATTTCCTCAACTTGTTGCTACACCTGATCACCACTAACAAACAATAACTGAGCTCTACCTGGTATTTCCTGCATAGAAACAGTGTTTTAACATGTCTTCTTATATACACTGAAAAGTACTGCATGTACGACTGAATAAATGTGAAACAAATAACACAGAAATACTATTAAAATTAAAAGTGAGGGCATTTTACTCACTGTTAAGTTGTGGTGAGCAGCTGCCATCTTGAATTTTGAACTCTCCCATTTTCCAACAAGGAATTCCCACTGGAAGGGCGTGTCAATTTAAATTTACAACTTGTAAGTGGGAAATTCCCACATCCCAGTAAAACTGGGCCCAGCAAAAGTAGTCGTCAAAAATGCAGCTGAATGGAGACTTTACACAGCAAATTTTACCAGCTACTTTTGAAACCTGAGCACCTCCACCTAGTAGGCAGATGCTGTCATTTCACAGGTAACACAATCACAGGTAACACAATCACAGGTAACACAATCACAGGTAACACAATCACAGTTAACGCAATCATTATAGGAGATGTAGTGTATCGTCAGTGCCGGCTTTAAAGCACCTTATGTTTATTATAAGACATAAATACATGTTTGAATCTTATGCGGGCCACATAAAATGCTGTGGCAGTCCGCATTTGGCCCACAGGCCTTGAGTTCGACACATATACTGTAGGTTGTTTGGTAGGTTGTGACTTTTCGATGTAATTAATCCGAGTTGTCTTTTTGTAGACAGACATGAGGATTAGCAGCTGCTCCGAGCCTGATTAATGACAACACATTACTCGTCTGTGTAAACACAAAAGCTTCAAAGGTTTGGATCCTCTTTGTGTTTTTTGTCCTTGTGTCATCTAACAGAAGGACAATCACTGACTTCCTGCTTCATCCTGACAGCAGCAGCAGCAGCTCAGGTCCTGATTTTGATTGAATAGAAGCATGTTTGAACGGTTGGATTTAGCGAACATCTGCCTGTCAGCTTTGCTCTCTGTATTGCTGTGTGATGACAGCGATGGACCACAGAGACAGAACACACACTCTGCCCCTCACTCCATGTTTGTCCAGGACTCTGTTCCTTATTGCTGCCTGATGAGATTTTGCTTTGACACTGTTCCTGTAGGAAAGTAAATAACACTGGAGATGAGTGTGCTCAAGCTAACTCCTGCTGCCTTTACTGTTAAAAACTAACTTCATCCTATGTTGAAAAACAACAGAGCTTTAGCTATTTTTACGTGCAATATTTCACACAATCTGTCAGCATTCAGAGTATGTGTTGTGAATAACTCGCAGCCACAACCACGCCAGATTTTAGCTACGTATCTGTGAAGTTCACTGAGGTTTAGTCATTTTTGTATAGGCTAAAACCAGTTAGCTGTGATAGCCCTCTTACGTTAACGTGTCTCCAAAAGGTTCATTGATTACTTTCTGAAAGCTAAAGTTTTAGGCAAAGGTTTCACAATAATTTGCAGTAAAATCACGTGTTGTAAATGAGTCTCGTTTAACCCAAATCATATTTTAGCAGAATATTTGTTACATTTACAGAGCTGCAGCCATTTCAGGGTTTGGTGGGATCAATTTGCTGTGGTGGTCATCTTGGATCGAACTGAATTTAAGGTTTATTTCCTGTAAATATCAACTTGATAAACTAATACTTTCTAAAACAGGTAAAACAAAAGGAAATGTCAATCTAAAACAGAGAATATAATAAAATATGACACCTGTGTCTGTTTTGTGTTTTTCAGGCTTCTGTGCTGGTGGGTGTAGTGACCTCTCTCTAACTCAGGGGGGCGCTGTTTGTCTGGGCAGGAGGTGTGAATGAAATCCTGTCAACATTTCAAGTTAACAAACAGACATGGATGAAAAAGGTTCAGAGGTTTTATAAAATCACATAACGCTGAACCAAAACGTTAAACAAGACTGAAGCTTCGTGTATTCTTAAAATCTTGCAGCCAATCAGATGAGCTGATCTCAGACTTGACCCTGGTCGACATTCAACAGCTCAGATGGGTCTAAACCAGGGGGGTCAAACTCAGTTACACGAGGGGGCTAAAACTCAAAACTTGGTCCAAGTCAAGAACCAATTTCTGTCAATCTTTATTGAAAAAAAATGTTTTATAACTAATTAATCTTAAAGAAATGCAAATTACTTTGCAGCATTTAGAACATACATAACCTAACAGAGAAAGAAGGAAAAAACACCTAACATTCATTTATTAAGCCTTTCTGTCAACATCTATTTCATTTATTATATTTAAAAGATACATTTTATCGCAATCCAGTGAATAAGTAGTAAAAAAATCCTCACTTATATCTAATTATTTGACTTTAAAATAAGAAAATAATACATAAACATATTTAAAACTGATTTTCTGCTCTTTTCTCATTAAAATTAAAGATTACTGACAAAGTAAAACTTAATTATCTTGGCTTGAAAGTTGACCAGCTGTCACGAGAAGAATGCACTAAATACAGAAAAAACATGAAACTATTTCACCTTTGGGGCTGAATAAAATGTGAAAGAGGACCCTATTTGACCCGCAAGACTTCAGCTTGACACGTGGTCAAAAGTATTTATTTGTGTGTAAGTGACGTTTAAATCGTGTTTTACAACTAAACAATGAAAGCTGAGCCTGGAATAACCCCTGACTATTAAGGGTGATTAAAGAAACATTTTTTGATACACTCTTTAAAATTAAACTGTCAAAAAAACTCATTTAATTTGTTATTCAAAACATTATAGGGTGTAAAATATTTTAATGTGTAAAACACCAGAACAAAACTGTCTCTCACTGCAGTTTTACAGATATTAAAGTTTGATGTGGTGGCTGACAGTTATTCACAACACAAACACTAACAGATCATGTGAGCTCTTTTATAAAATTAATTCCTCAACACAATGATTTTAGTCAAAGATGGCGGCGATATGCATGTTCTCATGTAAAGCTGGGTCATTGAGGTCATTAGATCTGCTGCCAGTTTCTGTGCTGTCATGTTGGGAGCGTTCAGAGGCAGAGCCCGGTCACTGATATCACATAACCATTTATTTTTTATCTGTATCGATGCATGAGGAACAAGGTGTACCATCTTCACGAAATTAGTTTATGCTTCTACAGCTGAGAAAGTGTTTGTATTTATCTGCACCAACGTGACAATATAAGTCCTCGGAGCAGAACTGACTGCATCACTGAAGAGGCTGACGCACATTTGTTCAGTATTTATGGAAAAGTCTGGTGTACAAACAGGCAGCAGATCTCAGGGGGAGTGTGTGTGTGTGTGTGTGTGGGGGGGGGGGGGGGGGGGGGGGGG